CCGGGGATCCGCGGTGGGGCCTAGTGGGGGAGTCCTGCGTTTACCGGCTGCGGTGGACCAGACCCCCGGGTCCGATGTAACGAGATGCCGTTTCCGTTCCACGTGTGGTCCCCGAGGGGCGCAGTTAGGGACTCGTGGGTCGAAACACGCGTGTCTGTGTGCGCCTGTAAAGGGGGGGTTTCTCCCCCGTGTCGGGTCGCGTCCACGCCTTGCACCTCTAGCTGGGGATGTGGGTGGTGGTGGGGGTATTTCTCCCGTTTTCATCGCTTCGTCTCCTGCGGTCCGGTTACTTCGGACCTGAGCCCAGATCGACGCGTCGTAACTGAAAACTGCAGCTATCGATGATCGGAGCTCTTTTTTTCCACCGTCTGGATACTCGCGGGTTGCAATCGTAAACAGGCGCCGTCCTTCGGATGAGACGTCAAACCGAAGTCCTGACTCTCTGGGGTCATTGACAATCCCGGGGTGTCTCTGGAGAAGAGTAGGGGTGTCACCCCCAGTGTCCTGGTCAAATACCCCCCCTGGTCTTGACCCATCATGGCCTCCTAATCACCCCCCCTCTCTGAACTGGCTCCATCCCTCTGCTCTCCTCCCCACTGAGAGCTGCTTTGTGGGGAGAGGACTGGAGCATCATCCAGGTGGGGGGCTGCACACTGGGGGGGCTGGAGGGGATCCCCCTGACCTGGGAAGAGCTCTGAGTGGAGGGTCCAGAAAGGCGCTATATAAGAGCAAGGAATCACACACTGACTATCCTGCTGTGTGCTGAGCGGACTGGAGCATCATCCAGGTGGGGGTACACACTGGGGTGGGGGTGGAGGAGGGGATCCCCCTGACCTGTCATGTAAAGAGCTCGGAGTGGGGTGTCCAGAGGAGCGCTGTAGAAGTGGGGGGATTCTGATTATTCATATTGATCAAGACGTGGGAGACCGGCTCTCTCTCTCCCTCCCTCACGGTGGAAGAGGAGTTTCTTTTCCCCGGCCGTTCTGGGGCGCGGGATCGATCCCGGTCCCCGCGGCTGTGCTCATCCCCCGTTCCTCTCCCGCCAGGATGACCGATTGGGAAGCCGCACCCGCTGTCGCCGAGACCCCGGAGATCAAGCTGTTCGGGAAGTGGAGCACGGACGACGTGCAGATCAACGACATCTCCCTGCAGGTATTCCCGGCCCGGCTCGGGCGAGCTCCTGGCTCCTTTCTCTCAGTCTGCTTTTAAAAGATCGCTGTTTTTAATCGCGGTCCAGGCGTGGAGAAATTGTTTCTTCAAAAGGGTTGGTCTCCCCACCCACGCGTCGGCGTTGGCAAGGGGACAAGGTGTCGTCCTGGGGGCTTTCTCTTAATAGTGATTCGATTTATTGATGAGCGTGGTGACAGATGGGCAGCACCCTGGTCCCTGTTAACTCTTAACTGCCTTTTCGTGTGAATGTGAGTTTATGTAATAATGGGCATCTCTTTTCACGGAGGGTGTTTTAAAGAAAGACTCCCACTGTGTTGAGAGAGTGTCCCACCTCATTTCCTGCCTGAACTGCCCGTGTTGTGCGTTTGTCCTGCTGCGCTCTGGGGCCAGTGTGCAGGGTCTCTCGTTTTCTCTCTCTCTCTGTCTCCTGGAGCGAGACTAGAGTCACACCCCGACACCCTCCTCATTGTCCTGGTGTGCTAGAGTCCTCGCAGATCAAACTTCTCTGCTTATTCATTGGCTGCAGCAACTCAGGGCTCAGCTGATCACCGGCTCAGAGACACTTGTCCGATAAACTCAGTGCCGTGTCGATGTACTGGAGGGTCCAGTTTGTATTAACCCCCTTTCTTTCTCGGTCAGAACCCACTCCAGGTTCTGGTCAACGCGATCATCAACAGTGGTCCCAGGGAAGACTCCACCCGTATCGGCAGAGCTGGAACTGTGAGAAGACAGGCTGTTGATGTGTCCCCCCTGCGCCGGGTCAACCAGGTCAGGACCACCATGAGCAAAAGTGTCCAGTCAGGGTGTCTGTGTGAACCCCTCTCTCTCTCAGTGCAGTGTTCATGTACTGGAGTGTCCAGTCAGTGTGT